ATATAGGGCAATATATGTAATAACATTTCAAAAGCCCTCAAAGCTATAAGAAAACATATAACATTTATGATGAGTAAATTTAAACAATTTTGTTGTAATAAAAAAGTCATGTATGTTTTGTCAGAACTCCTGTAGAAAGAAACAAATGACCGTTTTTCTTTCTGATCCCTTACCACAGAGTCCACCACGGATCACTGCCCAAGATTAAAGAGTCAACTCTGACTTCTCTGGTTCCCTAGTTAGGGTGGTGGTAGTATGTTTTTGAAGGCTTATAGTACTAAGAGTAAAAAAAGGCTGAAAATAATTAGAAAAGAGGGTAATTTTCATCATAGTTGGAATTGCATTTTTAAGATTTGTCTGGAAAAATCTCTATGATCTTTGAATTTGATAAACTGATCTAAAAACTCCCCCCCCCCCCCAAAAAAAAAAAAAAAGTGCAAGTAAAGATTTTTTTGGTCCAGCCTTCTGAGTCTAGAGGTAATAGATGTCTTAAGGTAATAGATGATGGTCAGTCATTATCCAAGAGCAGATCTGATGCAAAAAGCCTTCCTCCCTTTTCAAGATTTATTCTTGACCAGAGACTGTTCTTCCTGTGAATTCTCATGATGTACTCAGTTACTTTCTCCCCGGCTCCAACTTCTTTGCAGGTCTGGATGGAACACACTGAAAAGAGGGATCTTCTACACCAAGATCTGCAAATTCTTTTAAAGGTCTTGCAGATCCTTCATACTCTTTAGTTGTATCTGACTAACACTGAATAGTATTCAGTTTCATTATTAACCTTTTGAAGACTTTTTCTGAAGAAGGTTCTCCAGCTACAATGAGGAATGCATTACACCTACCATGCCCGTATATTATGAGTGCAGCTGCATTTTGCAGAGGCCTCTGTGTTGCTGCATACCAGTAACAGTAACATACTTGAGCTATCAAGTCCGTACATCATTCACATGTGTTCTCCCCAGAACGTGCCAAGTAAAATGGGCAAATTGTACATCTCCCAGAAAATCATTTCGCCACCATTTGATACAAGATTTTTCTTAATCTTCCTGGTCATTCTTATGGGCTATATATAAATTATTGTCACTTTCAAGATAAAATTATTCAAAATTTAAACAGTAGATTTTTCCCATTTAAACCAGAAGTTTATACAAACTGTATTGGCTCCCAAATTCTTATTTTGATATATTTTATAGGTCAGTTTCATAGGAAAAAAGGGAAGGCTTCTGTGTGTTTCAAAACAATACTAACAACAAAAGCCAAATTTACATGAATAACAAAACTGCGTACTCAAAACAGAAATATGTTACTATAGTAACATTTTCTATAATAATTAACAAAAGAACTCTACAAATTGAACTACATTAAATGCTATCAGAGAGAAATGTCAAAATACCTAAGTAATATACATTACAAGCCAGGCAACAGACACCAATATAATTAGTCATCTGCATTTAAAAATAGAAGTCCATAAATAATTCAGCCTTTTAAATTTTCTCTAACTTGGTAGATTACACTCAAGACTGAAAAATTCTTACACAGATGCTTACTGCTGCAATACAAGAGTTAGTTACACAACACATTTACTTTTCTTCCTGAGGAACAGCATTTGTGTGCAATTAGGGGAGATTTATTTCTGATATATCATCACAGGTCATAAGTAAAAACCGCAATTGTAATTTAGATCTTAAGACTCAGATTTCTAGTTTAATGTTCTACAGAGTTGCAGAGGACATAAGACTGTAATAAGTAAAACCTTCTATTTAGGAATATAAGCATACAAGTATGGGAAAGCTACTGAATATACTTAGCAGGAAGGGAAAATTATGCCAGATTAACGGCAACACGTTTTTACAGAATAAATAACTTACTTGAATTAGCCTTTAACCTGAAAGTCTTACCACCACAACAGTGGAGATAAAAATATGTCATGTAGTCAAATTTGTAGTAGCACAGATTCCAACATTCTAATTCTAAAATTTATATTCAGTTAAAAAAAAGCCAAAGCTACAATTTACATAATCTAACTTAAAAAAAAACAGGTAAGCATAATGTAAGTAAAAAGTAGTTACCACTGACCAAAATGATTACTTATATTACCAACGTGGGTAGGAAACCTGCTTTTAGGCCAGGACATCTCATTATGCTTGGCACAAAGTAAACAACAAAAAGGTGATCAGTCACAGAAAAATCTTGCATTCCAGGCCTTAAACAAGAGCATGATGAGTACAGATGGAGATACGAGGAAATCATGAAACTATAACCAGAAGAATCTCAATACATCAACATCCCATCAGTTATTAGGTCTCAGAAAGCATCATGAAATGAAAGTTGTAAGGAAGACAAAATTAGCTCCTCCTGAACAAGAATGGCAGCATGAAAGAAACAGCAAAATGAGTATTTAAAAATTGAAGTAGGGTGGTAAGATTGTCATTATGAGTCAGTCGTAGCTATGCATTAACATTTCAACAGCAAGGCATTCAACTAGATGTTAAACATCAGACCGCCTCTGTTATGTTATACTCAGTAAAGCATAGAAGCACGCTTAAATAAACCATACAGTGAACTTACAGCCTTTAACTTGAGAAAATCAGTGAAAAAAATACGTTGGTACAGCTCTAGAAAAGACCTTACTGCTTCTGTACACAGCTAACAGTAGCCATGGCTTTGTAGTTCTTTTTTCAGCATATAATGGATAAATACCATAAAAACAGGCACTAGGATAAGAATAGGCTTCATATACTGAAACAATCAAAAAAAGGTTGTCTTGGTACTTCCCTGAATGCTGTTAAGCCACCCTATCTGCAGAGTGAGTAATCTACAATGTTCTTAACTGTGCCACACAAAACTCAGATGACTAACACTAGGAAAAAAAACTTTATGGTATATGTGTTCACTTTACCATTATTTATTTTTCCATTTAACTCAAGCTTCACACAGAAAGGAATTTTAGTCAGCATTAGACTCTTGTGTCCTTGTGTTTCAACTTGAAAAGATCTGGAAAAGCTTTTAAGTCAAAATCTTTTCCGCTCATCAGCTGCATTTCAAAGAAAATTCTAATAATTAAAAAAGCTTTCCAAATACTTTTGCATTTTCTCCTGAATATATTTCCCAAGTCTTATTACAAATTGAGCTTAAAATTTATCTGACATTTTAGATCCTCCTGAACAGCACTGTCCTAATCATATCACAAAACAGACAGACAACCACTTAAGATCTTTCCATTAGGGTTTTTTTTAATAGGTATTTAATATCAAAGCTTTCAGCCAAGAGAATAGGTAAAACAAAATCAAAATTTGAATCGGCATAAATGTTGACCAAGAAGTACCAATTGCAATTAAGAGTTTCTTACACAAATAAACAATACAAATCCAACAGTCTTCTCTCTCTTTCCCCCTCTCTCAAAACACTCTGCAAAACAGAACAGAAACCCAGCAGTACACAACACTTATGCTCTACCACAAACTCAAGCAAGTTGCGTTGTAGCACCACTAGGTAGCTAACATAACGAAAAACAACACTTAGGCTTAAGGGAGAATACAAAACAAGGGATGTCCGACAAAATTAAAGACAGCCTTCATTATATGAATAATTTTGTAAACACCAGGTATTTTACAACACTGGCTCCTTATGTAGTGAATGTCTTCTCTGAAGAATGTTAACAATGAAGGTCTGAACAGCAGGCTTCAAAGTAAAAATGTAATCATGCAGTTTTCTCTCCTTCTCTGAACCTCTTTCATGTTATTACAGGCACTGCTGCCTGCCTGTTTCTACACTTCCTGCAGACTTCCTAGGACTATGAAAATATTATGTGCATATTTTTTCACTGTTCAACTAGGTATTAAAAAGTGTAATGCTGATAAGGCAGTGTTCCTGACTTAATTGTTTTATTGCTCAAGTGTCAATAAACGTAACAATGTCATTTCTGTGATGGTTTTCTACGATGAAGACAGAAGTAGGCACAATTACCAAGTAACAGAGGCTTTTAAAAAACTACAATTTCAATAAAATATTATGCCTGCAAAACCACTGAAATGCAAGTCATCTACTCCACCATGAACTAAAAACTTCCCTCACACCAGCAGTAATTAAGAAAACCTCATAGTAATAATCAAAGAATCATTTTAAATAACCACACTGCTTTCAGGCCACATCCTTAAGAAAGGACCTGATCCTACTCACGCCTACTCATGTTACTAAACCCTGTTACCTACCTGAATAGTCCTCCTGATTTTAAAAATTATGTAATTTGTAAATTCAGGTGGTTTTGTTTTTTTTTTTAAATGTACTACAAGTAGACTACAAATGCTTCATGTATGTGAAGCACCTCATCTTCCATGGTTCTACCTAAACTGGTTTCATGACACTTGACCCAGTCTGTTGGCTGTGTTAATCAACTACTAACCTTCCTGTCAAGGCAGAAAGGTTTCTAATCAACAAGAGAAATGAAGTACTGGAATAGCATTCCAACAGGCTGTCTTTGCTAGTCCACACTTCCTTTTTCAATGGAGCTTGAACTGTTTACTAATAGGACTATATGAAATGACCACCCAAAATAGTAAGGCACTGAATTCTGATACTGGAAATCTATGCAGTGCTTCACACCGCAATTGCAGGCACTTTGCATGTATGCTGGGTAAGTTTTATAGCAGCAGAACCCAGGGCACGAGTTTGCAGAATCTACAAATAGAAACCAAGGAATAAATGGTTCCACCAATGCTTTAATATGTTTTTTAAAATGTTCTCTAAAATTCACCATATATTTTAAAAATGATACCCGCAAGTTGTAACCATTCTTAGAGTTTGGAAGCAAGCCAGATTTTTGGTCACGAAATAAAGCTTGTTTTCATTATGTTATGTCACCTGGAGAAAGCAAAGTATCTTTTACATTTATGGAATTGAATTTCACTGTTTTTAATGGGGTTGTTATATATACACATAATTAATAAACTAAAAGAACCTATTCCTTTTGAACACATATAAACAGAAGTAATTATTTTTACCAGATCCCAGTCTATGCTGCGGAAAAACGTATGAGACTTGATATCAGAAAATCCTGTCTGTGGCTGACAACCAAGCCTTTCTTTGGGATCCTGCGGAAAACACAGAAACTCTTATTACATACTCTTAAGCCAGTTACAGTCCATGTTTGTCAAAAGCCCACATACACGACTCCAGCATTCCCTATTACTACGCAAACTGCTGCTAAGATACACATATTATGGCTATCAAGGGATTTTTGTTCTTTTTTCTTTCTTTTAATGACATTTGTTTGAAATTTCATTTTTAAATGATATTTTACACCTTCTTAAAATAAAAAGTCTAGATTTATTTAGTAATGTATAATTCATATCCTTCCTTTCTCCATTAAAAATTATAATGGTTCTACAGATTTCAATCAGCTTAATTAAATGAGTAGTACGTATTACAGAAAAAAGTTTATAAAGAAGCCTATAGTTATTTTTTTCCACTAGATGCAGGCTTTTTAATCAAGTCTGTGCTGTGGAATTCCTTCAGTAAATTAGCAACTAACAAGTGGGGTTTTTTAACATACAGGATACCAAGGTTTTATAGGTTTTCTTAATAGTAAGCAGATTAACTTCTTAACTGTATTGCTTTCAACAGGAAGCTCTGACTTCCAGATCTTAGATGCTAAAAATAAGAGAGTGTTATTTACCTTGTTTAAAAATCCTTTTAACACATGGGAAGCCTTGACAGAAAGAAACCTTGGAATCCGGATTGGCTTCTCAAGAATAACTGTTACAGGTTTAAAAACAGCAATATTGTTTTTTGTTTTATGACATTGACCATGATTTCAATACAAACACTGTATTATTTAAATATGTTACCATTTGGAAAATGGGAAGATACGGTAATTATTTAAAATAACGCAAACAAAAGGAGCTACAGTAATTCAAGGCACTGTTATACTGACATTTCAAGATTTCCTATAAGAAATGTTAGCTTCATTATCTTTTTCTATTGTTTGTAGTATAAACAGGGAATAAAACTTTTTCAGTGTCCTCAGTGTATGGAAAAGTGTGATTTTAAACAGTAAGTGATTTAATATTAGGCTCGTCAAGACGACCATGGCAGATTCTGTTACATAATTGCAGTAACTAGTTTAAAGAATGATTCTGCATATTAGGGAGTAGGCAACTTTGCAATTCCCCAAACTGTTACAGACTTTCTATTGTAATAAATATGGCAAGTATTACTACTGTTGTTTAGAAAAATTCATACATCACTATTCCTGAAGGGTAAAACTGAAAAAAAAAGTTATATTAATTTCATCAGAAGTTTAAAAAAAAAAAAAATTAAAAGTTATCAACCTGTAGTTTTGCTCCAGATATGTTTCTGTCAACAAAGACCCTCCCATCCTCTCATGTAGCACTGAATTTTAAAATTCATTCTTGGCCTGTGGACTGCCTTCTAACAAAGATACCATTCCATACAATTTCCGTCTGTTATTTCTGAACTGTGGACATTTTAAAAAAATATTTTATTGTCTGAAGAAGGCTTCCTAATTCCAGACCATTTTATCCGAGTTCAACGAAATAAATTCCTGCAATAAAGAACTGGAAATATTGGGGCCCTTTATCTACAGTAGATCTACAGCCAGCTATGGGATAACAATGGAAAAGGAAAACCTAACTGTCCTACTGGAACTCCTAATTTTCATTATTTCTCCCCCCAAGAAAGGGAAAAAAAAAATCAAAATAACTATACCTTGGAAGAGGTAATCTTCAGTGTTCATGTCTGGATTGTCAGTAATAATATCAAATGGAGACCTTCCTGCCATCATTTCAAACATCAACACACCGAGAGCCCACCAGTCCACACTGAACCCTGTAAATATTCAGAGCAGATTTTCAGTCAGGACTCCTTGAATTTAGGTGTTCTCTCTCATATAGATGAAGATTAATGGCTTGGTTCTACAAAGAACTGAAATTCTCTACTTTCACCGAAGCCACAGACATCATGACTTACACTATCATTGGATGAGACTTGAGAGAGTTTTCTGAATTGGGATTACAAAGGTAATCTGTATAGCAGTGTAGGTATCTGCCAGACAGCAATGCTTCAGTGAAAATTCAGTGTATTTAAACTGAAAAATTTCATTTTTTTTTTTTACAGTTGAACATTATAGTATCTTATAACTAAATGACCTATTGATCAGATCAGTTCACAAATAACAACGCTGGTTAAAAAGACTATTATACCTTTGACTTCCGCATGAGCAATAACTTTTTGTTATAGCATTCTATAGCCTTGTCTGGAGGACAATAGTAGCTCGGGTGTCAAGTTCTTCAAGGAGTGGACTTGGTTTTGCTACAGTATCATTTAATAGTTATTTTTCAGGGAAAGTATGATTTAAAAGAAGCTGAAATGAGTGATTGCAAGAGAAAAACAAAAATAACCGTACCATTTCAGAAAAAATTAAACTGTACAATATCCATTCAATTTTTTTAACATATAATGGCACAAAAATGTGGAAATTAAAAATAATTGTATTTGAACCAACCTACAAGTAGAACTTTGCTTTATGATTTATTATAACTACAAATTGTTTAGTCACAGCTTACCATATTCTTCTCCTCTGAGGATCTCTGGTGCAATATAATTTGGTGTCCCACAGAAAGTGCTTGTAGTGTCACCAGGGCCCAAACCTTCCTACATGCATAAATCATTTCATAAATTAAAAGCTGACCTCATTTTCTGGGAATTTCCCTTAATTAGACTTATAAAGCCAAGCTACTTAGGGAATCTAAAGACCTTCCTTTCAAAAAAGGCAACGCTAGAGCAAAATAAATACTCATCGTGCTCCAAGCTGGCTTATGACTTCACAGCTTATCTTCAGCAAATTAATTGATTAAAATGGAGTCACAACACATTTGTAACAACATTTTGCTTACTATATACAGATACATTTAAAAAATTTCAGCTCAAAACCAATTTGGAAGTCCTTTTCAAATAGATGTTGGGAAAAAACCTTCTATTTTTAGGAATGAAGGAATCAAACTTTTACATAACTGCTGTATTCCAAGTGAAGCCCCACAACCTGTGCACTTCGATAGTGGAGAAACATTCTAGTCCAGAGTTCTTAGAAATTGGTGCAATATCTATTCTATGGAGGGAATAAGACAAGCTTTCCTCATTACGTCACCATAACGTGCCTTAACCATGTTCCAAAATAAGCTAAATAAAAATTAGTATTATACACTCAATTCTTGGACTTCTAAAAATCAACACAATGCCAGTTGCAATTTTGGCTTCAGAAACTTATTCTCACCAAGAAATAGACTGGATGCTAATCTCTTTTCACATACTAGCTAGAAACAGCGTGGCAATAACAAGGAGACTTGAGGTCAAATCAACAGCTCTAAGGGGATAGCAGAATTCTTGTCAGATTACAACCACTTCAGTCACGTCTGGCATTCTAACTTCACACATGTAAGTTTTAAATTTAGTATTTTCTATACTCGTATTTTCTATTGACCTTTTCTTGCTTTCCTCTGCATCATGTTAAGTACACGCTACACTTTACCAGGTGCTTTGAAAGCAATGCTCTCTAAATTGCCTCTCAGTGCCAAAGATTGCAGCCTAAGAACAGAGATATTAGAGAGCCCCTGTTGGTTAATAATCTGTACAGTCCAGCCACAGAGAATGATGAATGCAATTCATATTCACAGGAGCACAGTTACTAAGAGATGGAAAAGACCCTTTTAAAAACATACTTGTCTTAAAGATAAATTTTCTAACTTGGGTCACGTAGGAAACTTACAGAGATAGAAGAAATGAACTTGGCCAACAGGTCAAACTTCTTGAAATACACAAAGAAAAAAATCACAAATGTGGTTCTATTCTTCAACAGTCATTTTTCAGAATAAAGTTCCTATTCCACAACCAAATTCTGGACTCAGTAACACTAGTGTTAAGATAAGGGTAACTTTTCTCAGTTTTCTCTTAATGTCACTGGATGCAGTATTTGACTTAAAAGCATAATCAGAGAGATATACTACTGAATGACAAAGTGACAAAAGAAAGGTAAGAAAAATCCCACCTTGCACATGCCATAATCTGTTAATTTGATATGACCCTCTGCATCTAAAAGAACATTGTCTAGTTTTAAATCTCTGTAGATTATGCCTCTTTCATGTAGGAAGTTCAGAGCAATACAAATTTCAGCAGCATAAAACCTGAAATTAAAAAGGAAAAAATTCATATTAGCATTAAGATTATACAAAAGCTAGTGCAATTAGAAAAAAAATCTCTTCTTAAAACATCAATTTACAGTCAGCTTTTCTCTATCAACAGTATACCAAAAAGAAGCTACACTTAATTCATAAGGACACCAATCTCAGATATTGTAAAACCATTCCTTAAATTAATATGGGAAATTAGCTTTTTCATTCTACTAATTAAGAAAATACTTATTCTTTATCCTACAGAATTTTTTCTGAAAATTCCAAGTGTGACACAGAAAAATCTGTATTTTCAGCTTAAGAGTTATGATGAGACTATGTAGTGCAAAGCCATGCAAAATAGATTTTTCATCTTCTCCTACCAACACTGTATTAATTCAACATAAGACCAAAATAAGTAGAATAGTTACATCTTCTATCAACAGATCAAAGAAGCATTGCCTAAACACAAAGCGATAAACAAAAGTAAATAGGAATAACTGTTACCACTTATCAAATGCTTACTTTCTTTAAAAAAATACATACCCTTCAAAAAAATAAAATTAATTTTTTTCCCTGGGCAGTACATTCTAAACTTAAGAATCAACCTTTTGTTTTTTCTTTACTATTCATATTCTTTTATGGACTAAAGTTTGGAAAGCATTTCATACAACATTAAACAACTACAACACAAAAAAACCCACTATAACTGTGTTAGTAAAATACCTTGCATGTTCTTCGGGAAGTTTTCTTTGCCGTTGCATATGAAACATAAGATCTCCCCCATTTACATACTCTATGACAAGAAACAATCTGAAAGTATATAATACAATTAATGGATTCCAAGGAAACTCTCGAGAAGAAAAACTATTCTTATCCTTCCAATTTGAGCCATTTTCACTTCCACTCTTGAATTAGACTTGTAGATTTCTTATAGTTACAGAAACTATTTAAGAGAAAAAAAGAGAGTACTTATTTGATCCATATTATGTAGGATCACATCCTTTATTTAAATGCCAGACTAATGTAAAGGAGAGGCAGCTGCATACAACAGGCTACTATTTGGTGTGAAACCTGCAGAACTATTTAAACAGTACAATAGACAACAGCATTTGCCTCATATAATGAGGTACTCACTCAGCAATAGATGTAAAAAAAAAAAACAAAACCCTAAGCATATAATGATATATAGACAACTTTAAAAATTACTTAGAAATAATAGCAAAATCATGGAAGTATGCTAGAAGATGACACATGGCAAAAATGAAAGTTTATCCAAAAAAGATAAAATTGTCATTAATTTGAAAAAGACATAATAATAACAACATAGTTACATGACTATCTCTTATTCAAAGATGTTGATTCTTTTGACTTTTATGGAACAAAATTCCACAGTATAAAATTCGCTCAGTGAGTGCACTACTTTGAATAACAACGTCTGATTCACTGAAAAAAATAAGCCTGCCTGAAACAATGCTGATTACTTAAAGGTTTTAAGATTAAAAAATACTTCAAAAGATGCATCAATGTAAATTCAAACCTTTCTTATTAAATCTGACACAGATTTACCCTGATGTAATAATTATTAAACTGTTACTCTGCTTGACTAAATATTGTTCCTTTTTAATAGCCAAGCTGTAGCATCAAATCTGAAGAGCTTTGTAGATGAAATGTCGTTTATATATACCTAAGTCAACAAGGCAAAATCTGAACATTCTCATTTGTATTTTTGATACAGTTTTGCCACTAAAAGGTCACCATCTTTTAAAAATTACTTCATCGTTAACAATAATTAATGAGTATCTGGCAATATTACAGAGATCAATATGTTTTGTAGGATTTGTGATATTAATTAAATAGAACTATGAAACAGCCTGCTGTTTGTGCTGGTTCAGTTCCTGAAAAGCTCAAACAGATCTATTGAAAGCAAGATGACATAAGACTCACTTAGAGGAATGTAACCCAAATTTACTTTCTAAAAAAAGTAAGTTTTATCTGAATAGCATATGACACAATAATCTTTCTTCCAGTTAAGGTTACATGATCTAGCATATTATTAATATACACATACAAAATTATTTCCATTAAATCCTATGATCATCACTGACTCTTCCTGATACACTGTTAAGAAACATATTGTCGTTGCTAGAAGAAAAACAAATGTTCTGTTTTATTTGTATAGATAGACTGAGACTAAACAATTTGAGGACTGAAAGACTCAATTCACATATGTCCATTATTTATCAGAGATGAAAACTAAATTTGGTGAGCTAGCAGGACAGATAATGAAATCCCAACCTCCCTTGACTTTGCCAAGACCTTTATCTGTAGAAAAACGTGAATTAAAAGAAAGTGTAATGGACCCACTTCTGTTACTCTCTACATGGCGTATTCACTAAATGGAAGATCTGGGCACAGAAAGGCTGCAGCATCAAGGCTTATTAGTTCCTCTGTAGAACAAGTTTTTTAAACAGTCTTCTTAAAACAAACAAGAGAAAAGTCAGTAGGGGAAAGAAATATAGGTGGAATCAGCCATATAAAAAGACTTCTATTACAGTTTGCAGGAAAGGTTTCATCCTTGGGAAAATATGATCCAGGCAACGCTGCCAAGGTCAGAGAGACCTACAGGATAGAAACATGCTGAGTGAGAGTTTCTTATGAAGGTTGCGGCTGTCCTAGGAGGCAGTATTTCTTTATACACCTAATCTTCCATGAGTTGAAAACTCCTTTCCATATATTCACACACTGGAAAACATTCCATTTGGAAAACACATGCTCCAGTCTCTCAGCCCATTCTAATTGGTAACAATTAAATATTTTTTTTCCTTTGAAAAGGATTCTTCATTTGAAACACTTGAAGTGTTGGAAGACTTAAAAGGTAAACCAGGAAAAACTACTGGACACAACCCAGCTTGCAAGTCTTTCAGTGGCCTCCCCACAAGAATATAAACACTGAACTGAAATTAAATAAACAATAAATAAAATAGATAACAATGCCCTGAGTATTTTATTACAGCATTTCTGATATTTTTTGCTTCCAACTTTCCTTTCCTATTTAGAAGCTTCCAAAGCTTTATCACCATTCAGAACCTGTGATGTAAAGTTGCTTGTGTCAAGCCATGTTCAAGCACGGAAGTGTGTGAATACTGGCAGTCCTCGCTGGTTTTAGAAGGATTTACTCAAACACCAATGGTTTTGCAGGATGGAGGTTTCAGATTATTGCCATCCTCAGAAGACACTTATCTGGCAATTCTGGGCAAGCCCAAGGCACATATTTTATTAGGATAATAAAACAAGCATCACTAGTATCTGAAACAATGTAAACAGCTACATTTAGCATCAGTTAGCATCTTTTTCGAGTACACATTTCTTTTATCTTAAAAATTCATTTAAAATTCTATTTAAGAGAAAGAACATGTTCCTTTGGAACTTGTTTTCTTTGGGCCAGTTAACACAATCTGACATTGATAAATTTATTCACTTGAGATCAGTTTCGTGCTTCTCTTTGCTCCTGTAATGAGGTTGTAATTGTAATTTTATAACATTACAGCTATAACCAATTGTGAATTCGTGACATTATGGCTACATCCATGGCAAATGGCTAAAGTTATAAACAAAAAACTCTAGTTTCACTGCAAGGAGAAGCTAGGCTGGAAAAACAGGACTCCTAAAGATACAACAGGAATACAGAAAGCTTTGACTACGTTCAGCATATTTTTTTTCTATTTCTGCTCCTCAACTATGTCAGCGTAACTACCAAAGTGGCATGCAAAGGATCTTTCTATTGCTGACTTCAGCCTTTTTCTTCTTTCCAATATTTATAAGAAACCTCATCCTCAATACTTCGCCCTGCCTGACCACCTGAATTTTTATATAAGATGGTCAATACTACCTAGTATTTGGTGAGAAGGTGTTTGTGAATGTTGGTTTAACTGTTTCACAACAGTTTGTTAGCTGTCTAAAGATTTTTTTTTTTTCTGTCTGCAAGACAAATTTCTTTTGGTCAAACCCTTAGTCAGTCACCTTTGGAGATCATTCTTCCTCCCTGCTCCAAAAATCTCCCTAGTCCATGTACCTTCAAAACGCTCTTCATACAGCTTCTTTACTTCCTTTATCTCACCTATGTTTTCCCTGCTAGGAAAATGCTACTTCCTATGACTGTAACCATTAAGGGGTTGAAAGTTTGGGGGCTGAAGAAATCGTACAGTACATGTCTTCATATTTTAAAAATGACTAATACACACTGTAATGAACAAGCGATTATTCTTAAGGATAAATGACTAGATAACCCATGAAAACTTCTTAAAACTCTTTGCACTCTACACTGCATGCCGTCCAAGTAAGCCAGACAGAATGACTTTTATCTTCTGATTATGATACATATGGCACTAGGCATTATAAAACTGTAATGGTAAACAGGTGCCTGTGAAAACAAAAAAATCCCAATAAACCACAAAACCCACACACATCCAAATTCCCCAGTGACATACATAAGCATGGGCATAAAAGTTGTCCTTGATTTTCTTCATATTCCAATTACAAAGTAAGAAGCAACTAATCCACTTCGGATTCTGCACACAAGGACAAAAAACTAGTATTTCAAAGTAGCTAAGAGTTTATTAAGCACTTTTTCAAATGAAATCACATACTTCATCAATATGTGCTAAGGGCTCATAAGCCTCATATAGGTAAAAAATACTTCATACACATGTAGGTTTTTAAGTTATTATTAAAAACTATTATTACTGAGCAGCCCAACTCTTAGGCTATTTTGAAGAACAGAGAACTACAGTTTGGCCCTCTGAGAACTGATTCGGCCTTCCTCAGTAGGATCAGTTATTATAAACTAATCTCTTACAAAGCTCTGTTTTACCCTGCTACCATCCTCCTATTCCTGAAGCCACACAGCCTGTGCTCAGTAAGACAGCTCACAGTTCCTCCTCATTCTCATTCATCTTCTCCCTTCAGATCTGGACCTGGAAAACCCTGCCTTTTTCTCCACACCACACTGGCTAAGCTACCCCGCTAGAACTGGCTTTGTTGTAGTAGTGAATCCCTGACGATACTAACGCTTCCTTCCAAAAATTACTGACTGTGTGATGGCAGTGGTTATGGTTGCTTTATGAGAAGCAGTTAGTACAATGATCAAGATTTTCAAAACAAAATAATTTCAGATCTTTCTTACCGACTTGTTGTTTGAAAGCATGAATGTAAACCAACTAGGAATGGGTTACTGGATGCCTGTTCAAACACATGTTTCTCTGTCTGTACCCAATCAATATCCTGAAATAGAGTAATTGAACAATCAGAACTCCTGCTGGATAACCACTGTGGGTATTCCCAGAAAAGAAATTGTGAACATCTATGCTCCCTTACATATACCATTGTTACATATGTTCTTCAGAAAGACAAAACCCCCTAAAATCTGGAGAAAGTTATAAAACATTTTAATTCAATTATATATTCAGAAGTTTCTTAACCATTTAGAAAGGTCTGCACAAAATTTAAGCCATTAAAAAATATCATACGTCTGCAATATTTGATACACTGCTCATACCGCTTCATAGAAATAAATTCAATTATCTTAGATAAATGATCCTAAGGCTGCTGAAGCAACTCATGCCCGTAACAGAAGCAATGTGAATCTCCAGTTTTATAAAGTTCAAATAAACTGAACTTCATTTTCTCATCCGAAACTCAAAATGAATTCAATGAAACTACCAAAACCTGATTAGTTTGTCCAATCAAAATCATTCTTAAAAGTATCACAGACTACCCTTAATACTTCAACAGGGAGAAGTCCTGAATACCCAGTGCAATGCCATATAATAAAAACCTATCAAAATTTGAATAATACTAGCATAGTACTGCAAAATTCAGATCTGTAATAACAAAACATTTAATCATTTTTCAAATAACCATACAAAATTTAAACCTTACGGACAACTGGTTTTAGCAGTAGATATTCACTCTTCGTGCAATACACCAATCATGTTCCACCCTGCAAACACTCAGTACCCTGCCAACAAACTAGAAATATAATTGTTCTAAAAATTCTCCATTTCCAACAGATACTTCCAGCTTTCCAATCAATCTGGAGACAACAAAGACACATACTTGAGAAACCAGGCCTTCCTGTCAAGAATAGTTAGTGAAACTGAAGTCTCAAAGGAAATCAAGAAACGTCACCATCAAATTAAAGAAATCTGTTATGTTTTGTGTTCAGACACTCCTGAAGATGTAACACCTTGGAAGGGTAAACCTGGATCCAAACATGAGCCAAGAATCCAATTTTGAATAAAACAACAAACACGTCCACTTCTTTTTGTTTTTACTGAATGAGCTTCTCTTAAAGATTCTTTAAACTAACCCCTTAATTATTGTACTTGTGTACTAGTACATTAGTATTATACTAGTGCACTACTGTTAAGAAGATTAAGCTTAGAAAAATTTAATAGCAAAAGCCCAGGTATTTGATTTGCTTCAATCTCATTTAGAAAAGAATCTTTACTTCTCTCCAATATCAACCATTACCTGGAAAGCACTAGCTGATTTAAACATACTGACACTTGCTATGTAATTAACTTTCTTTCTCCATGAAACACTTCCTAGGTGAAATTTCCATTACTTGCAATATCTCATGCATTCACAGAATTCAGTGAATTTCCTATCAATTCCCAGAATTTCATTATACAGCCTATCTTATGGAAAATAAAAACCAATTAGCTCAATGTTCTATGTAATTATCTATGAGAGCCACTATTCAAGAAAGACTTTTCTCATCTACCTCTGATTCTCAGGAGCAACTGCGTAACTCATTAAATAATACTTTTCTTTAGCTTCTACCTTCTTGGAAAAACACACGTTAAAAAGGAAAGAGCAAATAAACCACACAACAGTCTAATCTTCGGTCATAAAAACAAACATCAAATAAATGAGCAAGCCAAAGTATTTTAGAAGAACATTACAACTTTACTCTTCTAACCCTAGCCTCTGGAATAATGACAAAAATGGCAGCCAGAGAAACTGATTGAAACTACCAACACAAACAGTACTTAAAACAATGTGTTTTGTTTTTTTGCCCAACATCCTACTTTCAAGAAATCCAGTCTTCCTAACAGCATAAAATTAATATAACGTCATCAGCTTAAAAATCGCATTCTATTTGACAAATTCACTTTCTATTGTAAGAACAGCTATATAAGAAATTCCCTATGAGGTGAGACTGCTTGTCCATTTCTTTTAAAATTTTATTTTATTAGAGTTTGGGATTCCACCCACAAGGATGACACAGTACTTCTTTACTCTTCAAATATTTGTGTCATACCTTATGTACCCCATCATACATACTGCCACTCCTGCGTGAGCATGTCACACTGCAGCGTTCCAATAAAGCTGGTAGCCCGACACCACTTGTTATCGTTCTGTCAGGTCTCTCAGCTGTTTTATCAGGGCTGTGGTCTGACCACGTGGATTCCGGTTACCCCATTACCCTGTTCCATTACTTAACACGGCAGGTTCCAGTCTAATGGCGTTGTAGGTGGTTCAAATCTGCCCTCCTTGCTTGCTGTGATTGGTTCATCACATTTACAAAAAAAAAAATAGAATGGATATAAAATCTATACCTTTCAAGAAGGGTGAATATTAAAGGAAAAAGATGAAGGGTTGGGTTTTTTTCTTTTTCTCCCCCCCCCTACTTGTGCATTTGAGATCCAGTATTAAAAAAATTTCAACAGGATTTTGAAAATAATCGAGAAACGCAACACTGAGTTCTGTGGCAGACAGAATTTTTTTCACATGCCAGTTAGTGACCTCAAATGGTAGCAGCATAACTTTTTTAAACCCATGGAAAAAAATATTCCAGAGTACTGTGTCACTTGCACATAAGCTCTATAATCGTGACTGTAAGAACACAGTTTGAGCTCCCATTCTGAAATACAGACAATACTTTGCAGCTACATTCATTTGCCTTGGAAAACATCTTCGTTTTCTTTCAAAATTAAGTGCCCAAATTCCACCCTATTTATCTCATCACCTACAGATTAGCACATCCAGGTTGGAATATTTTTCACGTGCATCCTAAAACTATTAATAAGTGTTAACTGTTATTAAAATAAGGGACATTTCTCTCAGATTTAATCTTGGAGCTTCATGCAGAGAGTTGATGACAAATGAGTTCAAAAGTCAGTAGAACTTCTATTACAGAAATGTCTAAAACCTTAGCTGCTTTCTTAGTTGAATGTTTTTTTGTTAAAGCATACTAAGTTTTTACAATATGTAACAGAATGCAATTAACACAGCCTTTTACCTCATCATCATGGACCAATTCTTTTTTCACTACTTTCATAGCATAAATTTGATCATTCTTTTTTAACCGAACTAAAAGAACTTTGGCATAACTTCCACGTCCGATAACTCTGATTAAATCAAAGTCCTGTAGTCCAAGCCCCTGAGAAATCTTAATTCCATCCATTCCATCAATGACTGGTTTGATATCCTGTATAAAAAGAAACAGATGCTAGAAACAGAAGACATTTTCATAGCAAGTAACTATTAAAGCAAAGAGGTCTTTAACCACTGGACAGAATTTGCTGAGTTTGCTTGTCATTGTCATTGGCACACAGATCTGAATGGCTGATTATAACACATTCGTTTAGAAATGTTTGGTTGGTATTGGTTTTGCTCTTACTAAAAGTTACTGTTTTTCAAAGCAGTAGTTTGTTCAATGAATCATTTAAATATTCCCTACTGGAAAACAGAAGGCGATGCCTTGAGAAATGCGGTTTTATTCAAATTCTTGAACCACAGGCCATGTAGAATTATCCTTTGCACAAAGTGAAGACCATCTTTCATATTCTGACAGATGTTGTGGTACAAATTAATGAAGGCTATCTAAAAAGAGGATGGATAAGGAAACAATGATTTGCTAATGAATGTTATATAATGAATATACCCGTCTTGGTTTCAGTTTAGGCAACAGCTGTCTGTATCAAGTTCACTACAGTTTTAATGAAGATTTCTAATAGGTGCCGGGGAACATACAGAAGCAGATGCCAGTTTCTCAAATGTGAGAATTTGCAGGAAATATTCCACTATGAAGAATGTTATTTTAAAATTCATTATTTAAAAAGATAAAATTTATCTTGACTGTTTGCTGGAATTAGATGTGAATACATGAGATTGAAGATCAAGCAGCTGAACTAGACAAATGCAGCATGTACTTTGACGTTTCATGTTTTACCAATATATACAATGCTTTGACATACTTCCATGGCCTATTTTTATCTGACCTCATACTACTGTACTTGTAGACAGATGAGCATTCTGCTGAACTATGGAAAGTATTTATATAAAGAATCTTGACCTAGGATTGACTGCTATTAGAAGAGATTGCTCTGAGCTTAAAGATTCTAGTCAACAAAGCGCCCAGAATGCCACTTCCTCTCTGTAGGATACCTTAAATTATTTTAGTAAAGCTCAAAAGTAAGGTGGGAAAATCAGAACAGCATAATTCAGGACAGTTGAGCAAACAGCACCTATCAAAATTTAAACACAAACAGTATCTACCTGAGCACTAACCATAGCAGAAGTCAGCAATTCTAGACAGCAATTAAAATTCTCTGATGTGTTTTAAATCTATACCCTTCCATCTCTGAACTTGAGATAAAATCTAAAGACATGTGACTGAAAATAAGGCAGTCACTTATCCAAGAGCAGGAACTACTTAAGCATGAAATAATGGTAGTGACAAGTATTGTAGTGGAGGTAGAGGGAAAAAAAAAGGTGCAGGCTCGTTAAAAGTGGGATATCAAACTAACTGTTAGTGTTCTGCAGAGTGCATCCTATTTATTAAATATGCCAGAAGCATTTTTAAAAGAAATGTCTTGAAGCCCTTTAGAATTAAAGCGTATTGGGATTTTTCAAACTGCTTTAAGGGAACAACATTCGTGGTATGCAGAGACTGTGTCAGGCCGTCTACAAAAGAGCTGAAAAACAGAGTTTAAGTGTATGTTATTCTACTTGTATATCCACAGGAGTTGTCTATAAATTATTAGGTATTATTTATATGAAACATGTCAGAGAGATGGATAGTTAATGTATTATCAGACTGAACCAACTTTCATAATGATAGCCTGCAGAGGTAGCCTGAGGGTGATAAAGAGTGTACAACCATTAGAAAGAGCAGCCAAGACAATGTCAAAGCCACCATTTGCTGCAAGGACCAATAAAGTCAAACCCTCTGCTAAATCACTGTTGTTCCAACATGAATGGAGGGGAGAAAAAAAAAAACCAAAAAGTCTTTGTCGCATCATGATTGGGATAACAAGAGCTGTATACAGAAGAAATCTGAAAAATCCAACAAAAATGCTTAAAAAAAAAAAATCAATTTTCAGAAAGAAAACCCAGACTTCTTTTTTTAAAAGGTAGCAGAAAAAAATAGGACAAATAATTAGCTATTTTATAAAAAGTTGTATGATTAAGAGTGTATAAATGTGAATTAAAACAGTATTTTTAAAAAATACCTCAGAGTCATCTTTAATGTTGTCATGTTTCCGGTTTGAAGGAATGTAGGGAACTGGAAAAGAAATCAAATAAGTAATACGGTTATTAAGGCCTTAATCAGAAATAATTTTAAAAATTGATACATGGAAAGATGATTTAGTAGCTTATGGTCAGCAGTTTGCTTTAAATACTACGGGACAGCTGATCAAATTTTTCTACTTTATTCTTGTAGTCCTGACAGCAGGTCCTACGGGCACTGCAGAAACAACCAACTCTGAGACAGTGAGAAATTCATCAATGAACCTTTGAGCTCATAATAGTATCTGACAAAGCCAGAGTCATTTTGGAGAATGGGTATGATAAATGGGCCCTTAAAAGAAGACAGGTTAAACCATCAAAAATATTAACCTAGAAAGAGTACTCCAAATTGCACAAAATTAAGAAATTCTTAAAGTCTGAGGGTGCACTTATATTGGCATCATAGTTTCGATCTGAAGTGCAGGGGTTTTGTTTGTTTTAAAAAGTAAATCGATTGTCGCCAATTGCTCCGTGCTCAACTTCACATTCTGGAATGGTTTCAGAGCATATGAATTTAGGATGAAACCGAACCAGACGATATGCTCCAGAGGTACGTTTACTGTAACTGAGTCCCTAATAAGCATTTAGTCCATTGGACTAAACTAGAGCTAATCCAAAGTAAACTTTAAAAAACCCCCAAACAGGTAGAGTGGAAACTGGGCCTCCAAATGGGGAAACACGTGAATTCCAACTTAACAAGAAAGTACTCACTTCCATCAGTTTCTTCTGAAGGTAGGTCAACTTCATCATTTTTATCATCTAACTGAGGTTCCTGGGAAGGCATGACCGAATCCTTGCAAAATACATAAGTTATATAGGAAAAAAACGTCGGTTTATGCAGTTCCTTTTAAGTGAGCATGTCTTGCCATACAACTACAATACAACGAGAACCTTACGTTTGTATCTTCCAGAATGAAAACTGGATTTTGTAGAAAGTATTTCCGAATATTAACATTTTGTAATGCATTATAAAACCAGCCTACCAAAAGCTTAAATACTATGTCAACTGTTCTCTGCAACTACAACAGATGTTTAGCTGTCTTCTAAAATATTAGTATATTTTATTGCAAAGTTCAAACTTTAATTCTATTTAAGACTTCTGAGTCTGTTTCACAGGGAACTGTAACAAAATAAACACTTCAGCATGCTGTAACACACTCAATTTAGAGCACTGGCATATTCCTTTCCTGTTTAAAAAACATTAATTGTTACTCATCATGCAAGGGTATTGCATAAATTGGTAAAGATCACAATACCAAATAGTTTTACAGTACATTTGGCCCCTGGTCTCATTCACAACTCAATGAGACGTGTAGGACTATTCTAGTAGGTATAGCAACATGCAGAAATAAATTGGCAAAGAATCTAGTCATGTCAACGCACATCATACGCAATACCAATAAAGAAAAATACTGGTTTAAGTTTTGAGTTAGAGACAACGTCATGCAACAACCAGCGAGATACTGGTTATATTCTGTGATGAATATGGGGAAGGGCTAAAATTCAGGGATATAGACTAATGTTTAAAGCCTAGGAAAGACACTAGCGTTGCCACCGGAATATATGAGGGGAATGGAGGGGATGAGAATAGTACTGGAGAAACTGAGATGGCAAGAAGATGAAAGCAACAAGCCTTTTTGCAAGTGGTAGTGCAAAAGCACACTAGTGCCTTAGTTCTTAAAACATTCCCATAGGCTAAAAAGAACAAACGCTAAGATTGTCAATGACAACTCTTTATCTATCTGTAAAATACAACAGGTCTACTGGAGAAGTCAAACTCAAGCTTGCTCACACTTAAGTCATATCACAAGTTTTCTTTTCTCACTTTGTCTCTACTGCTCACAATCCAAAGGCTTGTCCTCCATAGATATTTCAGAAGCTGAAAACCAAATACCACCACGTATTACAAAACTACAACCATGCACAGCATTTAATTACTTCAGATGCACATCTACAAACAGCAACACAGGATGCAATGAAACATCTTAGCTTTATACAGAATGCAAACTTACCATATGCCTTTTGCAGGTCAGTGGAACAAGTATATGACAACGTTTATGGACCAACAATTTGCAGTTGATACACTTGTAGCCTTGCCTTCCGAGACCCCATATCCTTTCACTGCACTGGCCACAATACGCTCTCTAAAAGCCAGAATGCATATTATCAATTCAATTCTCAATTCCTTTCTGTAGGTGAGTAGTTATCTAGCAGCAAGAATCCACCCTACAAGAACCCATCCTAGTCACCTCCTAATAGATCTTCAATAATAATTCTTGTAGAATATCCAGGGTTTCCCTAATAACTGAAGGTTACAATTCATACTTAGAATTCAGCTAAATGCAGTACTTTTTTAATGAATGTTAAGAAAACAAATATTTCAAACATATGGAACACATTACAGCCTAACATTAGCAAATCATTCTTAGAGAATAAGTATATTTTGAATTTCAGGTTCTGACAGAGGTTACCCAAACAAAACTGACAGGAATTTGTACTACACAATTATGCATAAAAAGCACCCAAACTGACTGCTTTGGAGAACACTGGCATAAAACGTTACAAAAGACAAGTATGAAGAATGTTTTATATCTGCACCTATATACTTTAACAGTGGTAGAACATCAGTAGAAACTCTGCATAATTAAAACTCATCTACCAAGTCTGATGTAAAACCTCTGTATGTTGCACTATTTAATATCAAAAATACATGGCCTTTTTTATACATGCAACAAAATGGCATCTCAATAAATTAAATCAAAATGAGGACAAATTAAGAAGCCAGACATTCTACTGCTGACTTTAACAGGGCAGGTCTTAAAATAATTCTTCCAGTGTTTGTGTGCTGTGGTCATTTTATCCACTTGACCCAAAATGCCAAATAGCAATCTGAGATTCTTGCACGCCAAGAAGTCACCTAGCCTCAGTTATCCCTCTACACAGTGCACAGGTTGCCAACAGAAGACTTACTCATTATTCCCTATCTGCAAATTTTCTCCAGTAATTACTGTAACAGGCTAGGACATTGCCTATCATTCTGCAAGCTGCACATGAAGTCCTGCACTCATCCCCCATTTCAGGCGTAGACAGAACTCTGCAACTGTCCCAAAGCCACAAAACAGTGAAAGTCTGTTCCTCCCAGCAAACTGCAAGTTAGAGTGTGGTTATTCAGATCCTCAGACTAATGAATCACACACAGTGTCCTGCCCAAAAGCGTTAAACTACTACAAATCCTTACTAGTAGTATGGGGGGGAAGAAATAATGATCAAAGAATGGATCATTTTTAAAAAATATTTTCTGTATTGCCCTTCTTATATTTTGACAGTTGTAGAAAACAAAGCTTAACTACATCCCATTCATCTGCACAGCCAGTCCTCCTTGATTAGGAGAAACCCAAACTGCATTGCCCAGGAAAAAAAACAAAAAACATACTGCCTAATAAAAGAGGAAGCCTTGGACATCTATAGCCACTTCTTTCAAAATTCCTGGTCCATCAGACTTCCTTCAGTATTCTTCTATAGGTTTGGCAGCAGTAATATTAAGACTAAATAAAATGTCTTAGGCCCTGGAAATGACATACAAGAAAATAATCTCATTTACTTCAGTCAGATGCAGGGAAGCGAGGGGGTGGGGGGGAAGGATGTAGGGGCAGCTCCCAAATTCCTTCAGTAACACAGGTATCCCTCTCATATAACCTCTCCAAAACACATACAAACACAGCAATAACAACAAGTTAACCTTTACATTATGTTCAACAAGATTAAAGTTTAGATTCTTGCATGTGTTCATTTACCTGAATTATCTGAAAAAGTTTTAAAAGGTTATTTTGAAAAAGGAATAAATTCATAAGGTAATACTCCAGTCTTAATTCAGTCAACATTAAAATTTGGTATCTAATTCAGTAATACATATACATATCTGACCAAAATTTATTATTAATTTATACATTTTAATGTCACACTTTACAGTTCATGTCAACTTTATTACTAACTTCAGTCGGATATGGTTTGTGTTCTGGCTTTATATGATTTCACTTCTATACAGACAGTTACAACAAAGTAGTTTTGTTTAGGATTGTTGACAAATGTTGACAAATTCACTATTTGCCTAATTTCAATTAAAACATCATTATCTATAACTTTATGGATTATTAATGTGGCAGGTATGCATTCACAACGTTTCAAAGAAATATGTTTTAACTACGTAGCAAATAAGCACAAAAAAGTATACATTTCATACTATAAATTAATAAAATTGATTTGGTACACCACAGTCTACAAATGCATGTTATAATTCAAATATATGACTTTTTCACATATCTAGTGATAAGATACTGAGTTTTAGGGGCCTTTTCCTTCTTTCAATGCAGTTTTGGGGTGGGGAGCATTAGGAAAAAAAAATGCTAATTTAATTTAAAAAAAAAGCGTTACTGCTCAATCAAAAAGTTAACTCACCTCACTGTACTCAGTTTTTGTATGGAATTCCCAAAAGCGTATACTACATTTGTATATATGCTGCAGTACTTAGGCATAAAGGGATAAGTGAAGGAGGTGTCTCAGCCTTAAAGCTACATTCACTTGCTTATGTGGATTAAGACAGACTCTCAACGCAGTTGTATTTTAGCTCAATAAACCAGATTCTTTTTTCTTAATTAGATTATGTAGTATCTCAGATTCAGAATAGTTAAAGCTAACGTCAAGAGCTCTAATCTTTAAGAATGACAAAAAGTACTGAAGGCAAAAGATTATGCTAACAAGCAATCAAAACCACATAAAGAGTGGAGAGGGGAAAAACTGCTCCAAGTATGCATCAGTTTAAATAGTCACAAAACCAGTTTTTTAGAGGCTTTAAAAATAAATAATTTCCACCAATCATATTATTAACTCCATCCCAGATTCAAAGACTTTCAAGTTCTTCCGATTGTAATGACCTGAATAACACTGCATAGACTGAAAGTCACATGAATAAGCATCTTCCTTTCTTTTCAACACTCAAATACAGAAAAAGCACAGACTGAGAAAACAATTACCACAGAACATTACCAAAACCCAACATTTTATGCAACAGTACTCACTCTGTTAAAACGTTTCGCTTGAAACAAATGCCCATTCACTCGGTACAGCTTCCTCCATCTTCTGGCTCCACGTCGGTAGATTGATTCTAAGGAAGAAATTAAAAAGGTGTAAAGAAGCAGCATGGTAGCACAGCAATACCAGACACACTATGTTAAGCAAGTTGTGACTTAAAACAATCTTGCTTTTCTAAATATCAACGCACAGCTAAAATCCCTGCTGGGTTTTTGGTTGGGGTTTTTTTTTTTTTTTAAAGGCAGCCGTAAAGGACAGCTTCTGCAGGATGTGCTTTCACCACTGCCTCTCCCTTTTCTCTATCCCTGTCTCTTTTTCCTCACATGATCATAATCTTGTTACAGTTTCTTGGCTGCTTGCTGTTTGAGCCCAGGTGAGAGGGACAGATAACCGTTAAAGAAACAGCTTCCTCTAGTAGAATTACAATGCTGATCTCACTGTGACACCTTCACATGTAAACACGTAAAGGATGTTTGGTGCTAACAGTGATTTAGATGTGCAATATTAAAGATATTACAAGTCTTGAGAGTTACATTATTTGACCTCATTTTTATCTTGCCATTAAACATTACCAAAATACTACTTCTGTTAGGAAAACAGTTCAAGTGCAGGTCTGCAATTATTTCTAATATATTCTAAACAGAACAACAAGAAATCATTTAATCTGTTTAAGCCAGACTTCCCAAGAGGCCATGCATGACAGTACCTAACATCTACTCCAAATTACTTTTGTTGTCGTCGCTTTTCACATATATATGTGCAATTTTTGTGTGACTGGCTAATTAGAGAATTTGGTATTTAATACTAAGTGTTGAAAAATGTGTTGTGCAACACCAGTCCTATTTAGAGCTGCACACAGCTGTAATGGTGACAGAGCCAACCCCTGCCACATAAGCAGGATCATGAGCTTTCCACAGCAGGCAATACCAGTGGGTACTGGGTGGAGTGGGGAGTACAGGGGGAAAAGAAGAGGGGGGTGAGTTAAGCAAAAAATTCAGCAGTGATGTTAAAACTGACAACATACTCTACTATCAAGAGGCTAAAAAATATATATATAAAAAAAAAGTCAGATTTGGCAAGATTTTCATTGCTGAATAATTAGTTCTAATTAAGAGATTCAAACTTAGGAGTTCTCAAAGTTTACTGTAATATTTGAAGTTAACAAGCATCTTTTAGACAGTGAGACAAGTCTGACACATCCCCTTAAACATTTCCAGGAAAAGTATTTTACAGTGGTTTTATGGGTGCTATAATATCCTCTTACTTGAAAAATTAATGTGAAAGACTAGAATAATTCTTATTTCAATACCATTATTTTAAAGCTATCTTCAGTAACATGGTAAGATTTTCCAACACAAAGTTTTAGCTGTATGCCTTTTTAAAAACAAATTATTTATACTAGTTATAATGCAACTTAACACAGTTGGCAGCTGGTACAACATATTAATTTTTCTGTTCAAAGTAGATGAAATATAAGTAAGGCAGTTTCACAGGGAATGGAGAACTAAACAGCATAGGAAGTATAACTCCCTCCGTCTGAGAAGACAACAGTAAAATACACACTTTTATGATATCTTGTGGATGGCTACATATATGCTATATTTGGTACCTAGGTACACTGGTTCTCCCAACCAAAACAACTCAGTTTCATAATAAGCAATTGTATTTGGTCAACATAAAGTGATCCTTGCTTCTTCCCTGTCACCTTAACAGGGTCTATCATATTGCTTTATTTTTCTCTTTTAGAACAGTTGCAACTTCTCCGTAAGAATTTCAGTCAGGAAACAGGGGAGGGGGGTTGTGTTGGGTTTTTTTGTTTGTGTTTTTAAACTGAGAGTCCAATATTATGTTAGCTGTTAAAGCTGTCCTTTAATCAGTGTAATACAAGTGAAACAATTTATAACAACCAATATTGTACGTAGAAAAATATGCAATGCGAACTAAAATGCCCCAGACAATGCAAAGAACATTTAACATAAAAACTCAAAGTTGATAGACTTGACTGATAAACAGTACAGTTTAATACCTTGTCAGAATGTAGCAAATTTATAATCCTCAGAAGCTAATGCAAAACCATCTTAAATTTTCATCTTTAATGTTTCTGCCTTTCAAGTTTCAAACAGTTAAGTTTTAAATATCCACATCTTATCAAAGATGAAGTCTTTTTTTTTTTTTTTAATATAAAAACCCACCCATTTTCACTGTCAGAAGAGAACACAAGTAGTACATAGTTTCTTTGTTGAAAAGTTGTTTTAACTTAATATTGAGCAAGCCAAAATCACAGGCTACTGACATACGATGTGTGAACACTGATTGTAATACCGGGTCTGACCTGAGATACTCTATTTTTGTCCTTCAAAAGCAAGGCACAAGTATTGAAGTTTCTGTGACTCCACAAATCTACAGTGCCAAATCCACAAACATCCATATGTTACTCTATTTGCATGTGCAAATGTTTACTTTGCAAGCATTTGAAACAGACATTGCACTATTAAACGAATTGTTAACAATTTGAAAAAACCCAACTTCTCAAAGAAGCTGAAAGACTGCATGCCATAGAAGCGGCAAAGATACAGGTACTAGAATAGAGGTGTATCACCTGATATGTTTATTTGACTCACAGAGCTCTTCAAAATCTGCCAGATATAAACTTTAAAGCAAACAAACCCCCCCGCTTTTCCTAAGTGCAAAGAAAATTTAAATGAGAACCTAGCAAAACTATTGCAAAGTTTTTGCCTAAATATGCTCGAACACAAACATCAATGAGAAACTGTTCCACCATTTGTAGGATGACTTTTCACCACAAGAAAAAAACGACTTCACAAGGATTTTTTCCAAAATAGCTAATTGATTCATTAGACAAAGCACCATATGGAGGCAACCTAATACATCTGTGTTCTGAACATTAGCTTATCACTGACATGAGGAATATTAAGTGAATGATAAGTTAACAAGCAGCTTGCACTGATGAAGTCTGTAAATAAAGGAGCAAGTCACTTCCCTAATTAATGATAAATATTAAATCAAAGTCAGGGTTTTAGATCATATACTTGTGAGGCAACAGTCTAACAAAAACTGAACTTAATATAGCATAGCTTTAAAAAGTAGGAATCTCTACAATTTACCGCTATGACTGCCACTGATCCAGTGTAGGGTCTAAGGCAAATCAATTCCTATGTCCCATCTCTAAAAGGGGCCAAGGCAAAAAATGAGAAAACAGCGACCACTGAAAGACACACCTTGATATCACAAGTTCTATTTTTATTATTACACAATAAGACTAAATTTCTATCACAGAATAATATGTTCTTAGTACTATCAATAATAGTATTCATTTTTGTAATCCATATTCAGCCAGTGGCACAAAGTCTAGTTGGAGTCCAGTGACTATCAGTGTTCCCCAGGGGACAAAACTGGCTCCAATCCTCTTCAACATCCTCATTAGTGATCTGGATGGGGCAGAGCAAGTTCGCTGATGATACAAAACTGGGAGGACTGGCTGATACACCACGTTGTTGTGCTGCCAGAGAGACTTCAACCCCTGGAGAATTCAGCAGGCAGGAACCTCATGAAGTTCAAAGGGAAGTGCAAAGTCCTGCACCCAGGGAGGAATAACCCCATGCACCAGTATATGCTAGGGGCCGACCAGCTGGAAAGCAGCTCTGAAGAAAAGGACCTGGTGGGCACCAAGTTGAACATGAGCCAGCAATGCACCCTTGTGGCAAAGGCGCTAACCGTGTCCTGGGCTGCATTAGGAAGAACATTGGCAGCAGGTCAAGGGAGGTGATCCTTCCCCTCTATTCAGCACTGGTGAGGCCACATCTGGAGTACTGCGTCCAGTTCTGGGCTCCCCAGTACAAGAGAGGCATGGCGCTATTGGAGAGAGTCCAGAGAAGGGCCACTAAGATGATTAAGGGACTAGAGAATCTCTCATACGAGGAAAGGCTGAGAGAGCTAGAACTGTTTAGTCTAGAGAAGAGAAGGCTCAGAGACATCTCATCAATGTATACAAATACCTGAAAGCAAGGTATAATTAAGACTGAATCAGACTATTTTCAGCAATGCCCAGTGACAGGACCAGAGGCAATGGGCACAAACTGAAACACAGGAGGTTCCATCTGAACATCAGGAAACACTTCTTCACTGCGAGGGTGACTGAGCACTGGGACAGGTTGCCCAGAGTTTGTAGAGATATTCAAAAGCCATCTGGACATGATCCTGGGCAACCTGCTTAGAATAACCTACAGAACTGGACTAAAACGTGTATTCTATGTATCTAGTAATGCACTCATGAAAGAGGACATCCTTAAAAATTCACTTAAGGATTATGGCAGATTATAAAAAGGAGTTTGGGTTTTTAATATCATTATTATTTTGAAGCATTATCAGCTTCAAAAATCCTAACTACAGCTATACTAGATCAAAGAAACCATCTCGAACACTAAACAGATTCTTAAAATGGCAGTAAGTATATATCTTGAAATAAGAAACAAACAATTTATTGTCAGTGTTCTGTGTGATGTGTGAACAAAGCTCTAATCTTAGTATGCATTTCACCCCTACACTTCATATGGGAAAAGGACACTTTTGAACCTGAAACAAAATGTTTTGGTACGTGTTTCTAGAACACTTCAGAATAAAACAAGTAAGGAATTCTGTGATTCTTGATAACCAAGAACTAATACAAGTTTTTACAGCCATGATTGATCCCAGCCACCTAGAAAAAGGAATGCCATTACAAAGGCATGAGTATTTAATTACTGCATTTAATGAAAAAGGCTACTTTTTTTGGTATATGAACAAGTTTAGATGAAAACTCAAAAGGTATTTTAAGCTGCTAACAGGGATAACAAATTTTTATTGGGGAACACATATATTCTAATTACAATGAATGTACTGAATTTTATCTACTTCCAAGACTGGAAAATTGGAGGGAAAAAAAGAGACTTTTTCAAGTTAAGATTACAAGGGAAATAAAAATACTCAAACTGAATGTCTGAAACAAAATTAACCAGCTGTCTCTACATAAAAAGCAGTGTGAAGCAACTGACTGTTGCTGTTGTGCAATTCTTC